TCGACCAGGAAAGGTCTCAAAAAATTTCCCCCCAAAAATTATCTCTGCGGAATGATCTTGAGTAATTTTGAACTAGATCGGATGAAACTTAAGGGGGTTCGTAATGTGGCACAATGAAAAACTGGTGAACAGCAATAGTTGAAAACTTGAAACAAAAACGAAAAAGTGCCCCATTGAGTTTCCAATCAGTTGTAAAATTACGAAGCCCTAGTGAATTTTAGTTTTTATTTCACAGCATTTCTACGGAAAGCCCAAAAGGAGGGAATGGGTACCCTCAACAGATGCACTAATAAATAATTAATTAGGTCAAGTACAAAAACAACTATAACCTGTTCCTTCCGTCGCAGCTATTCTTCTTACCCGTCCCTACTGTGCACTATTCTTTGAAATAATGAAACAATATGTAATGAAAGAAAGTGAAGAATTTTGTAGAGCAGAAAATTCTCTGTCGAATAAGTTGAGAATGGAATCTCCGAACCTTAGTTGTGCTCGGAAGAAAAGAGAACAAAAGTGTGTCATTATTTTTGACCTACCCGTTATATCTATCGAGCATAGATGCTTGGACTATTAGTGAATGTGTATTCGTAGATATTAGTGCTAGGACAAGTTTATTGTTAGAATTTCAACATCCTGTGAATGAGGCAAGATATCTAGCTACCCTGCGTCAAACGGGACAAAATTATCTAGCGTACATCCTTAGAGCTGTTAATAACAAAGCCATCATACACAGAGAATACTCACATTTGTAGAGACATCAATCATTGAATGTACTTTCTCATTTCTGTACATTTTTATCTGAGATTTGCCATAATTACTATGTTTAACTGCGCCTGTACAGAAATGGATATCTTAGATTTAATAAAGACATCATCTCAGAAAGATAACCCGTTCTGGTCCCGAGAACTGACCCATGAAGGCAGTTCGGCTATGCGACTATGGAAACTCGGATATTTTGTAAGTATTCGACGTTTTAAAATATTCTAAACTCAGAATTAGAAAACGCAAATACTCTATACTAATTCGAAGGAAAAAGTCATTTTCTCAAGTTGTTTTCAACAATTCAACTCATATCGCTTATTCAGTTATTCAATACAAAAAGAAGCAACAGCGAATTTTTCAGAGCTAATGTAACCAAAACATGCGAAAAATTCTTTTTTAACCCATGAATTAGACATTTGTACCTGTGTGACTAACATAAAATGATTTCTGTTTTCAAAATTCGAATCGAGTTCAGAAATATGCATTTTGTGACCTATAGAGTCTTTCTTTTCTCTTCTGTCCGTATAATGCGCAACGCTCGATAATAGTGATTCAGCATATATTGTTGGGCTGAAGAAATTCTTCTTTCGACCGAGAACGGTCTTTAGGCAGAAAAATGATAGGAATATAGTATAGGAAAATTCATCATAGACCATAGAGCAGACAATCTCACACACGATGCATCTGTTTTGAGAATTTTAGAAGTGTTGTTTCGACAGGTACTGAAAGTAGTGAAATAAAGAGGACTGATAGAGAATTAATTTTCGGAATGGCTATTGGCACTCCCCGCAACCGTTTAACCCAAGCGTCAAAACAATATCTGGTATCGCCCGATTCATCTAGGTTACTAGATTTTTACTCGATTGCAACTATTGAGTAATGACAGCGGAAATCTAGTAATCGGGCGATTGCTAGATTTCTTCTAGTTGCAATTATTGATTTATCGCTCGATAATCGGTCGTTTTAACTATTGCCAGTTACACATGCAGACAAATCTAGTTAAAAGTCCCTTTTCCAACTAGTAATCTAGATGGCAACTAGTCGTGTATCGCCCAATTACAGACGAAATGTATCTGGATTTTTCTCATAGATGATATTTGCACGGGAAGAGTGTCAATAAGGAGCTATTGGTACCCGTATGCAAAAAACATTTGCTGGAAGTGTCAACAAGGACTTCATCTGACATATGAACGGCTCGACTCCACAAACTATACTTCGACTCGCAAGATTCCGATTGTACATTTGGGTTTTAAAGGCATCTCGCTAATCGCGGAGCGAGGAGGACAGTTGGATAGTAAAAGTGAGCGGAAAAGCTGAAAATCTAATAGATGATAATTGGTTTTACAAAAACTTATAAGAGAAAATTTTCCAGTATGCAGTGTCATGTTGAACACCTAATTCAATCATACTTGCAGCAAGCCGGTGAGTTCAAAGAAGATTAACATTGCCGTAGACTGTATAAGGGATCTTCGCAGATTGGATTACTGAAATATCGGATAATCTTCTTATTGCAACCCGCAAGGGGTGCCAATACCAATTTTCATCTATTAGATTTTAAGTTTTTTCCATCGGCCCTATCCTATGAGCGAGATGCCTGTGACGACGCGAATTCGAATCTTCTAAGTCAAAGTATAATTCGAAGAACATCGGACCGTTCATATGTCAGATGACGTCCTTGCTGATACCACTATCAAAGTGTTTTGCAGCGGAGTACCAATAGTTACTTGTTGGCACTACCGGGAGTACCAATAGACTTACCCAAAAATTTTACACAAAATTTAAGGTAGACCTTTAAAGGTTTCGTAGTCAAAGTACGAAACCCAAAACGATTCATGCGAAACCTAAAATGGTTTCGAAATGGTTGCACGTCTCTGTACCCTCTTAGGTTTCGTAATAAACCCATTGTTTTTAGAGAGTACTAAAAGCAAGTGTGAGCACTTGACCATAACGGTCATCCTCCTAGTAAGTGTCCATTGTTTTGAGATATTCTAAGTGTGCTTATCGGTTAGCATTCTGTTTCTTACCTATATGTCGAGGTTAAAACCGACGTTGGATCAAATTGTAGAGGATTGCTAAAACGTAGCTTTTCTCCTTGCCCCTACTCTCTAAAAAAAAGGCTCCATACTAAGCCATTAAGGTTTGGTGTATTGCTTCGAAACTTTTAATAATTTTGTAGCGAAATTTCGAAATTCAGACGGTTTGTTAGATGGTACGAAACTTCAAAACAAAAGTTTTTTCTACAAGGTTTTGTACAGAGTATACGAAAGCGGCGAAGTGGTTTAGTAGAAATTTCACAAAACCTTACGAGTTTCGTATCGCATTAAACACTTCTTCAATGAAAGAAGAATATGTTGAAAAACCAGTAAACAACTAGTAGCAGATATTTATTAGTCTTAAGATAGTTATCCGAAAGACGTTGTCTGTTTGAAACACGCGATTTATGTGAATACCATTAGATGGAGCCATTTTTTCTCGGCTGTGATTGGCCTAATACAGAAACCAATAAATGACAGAATGTGAAAGATGACTATTTTATTTCTTTGCTTTTTGCATGAGCTATACCTACTTCATCGGGGAAAGTTAAATCTACTGTTTTTCCATACCATTCCTTCCTCGGTTAGTTAAACCAAGTTTAGAAATGACACCGTTCACACGATCTAAAAAAGTTCAATAACGGTTAAGGATTGAAGAACATCTTTGGGAAAGCCATGTATCTTTTTTGCATAGCTGAGTGTACTTGCTTGATTATGTTTAACAAGCATAATAAAGCACTTGCGGCTAGCAACTTGAAGTTTAATAATATTTCAGGTTTTATCATTTGCTGATCTTTCATAATTCACTCATCACATGTGAATAAGAATTAGTATGATGGGCTACTTGATGACTGGTTGGATGGCTCTATCAACTGAGAGTATTGGGTTATAGAAATTCAGTTAAATAGTCAAGCCGGCAAGTTCTCAAACTGAATTGCTAGATTAGTATAACAAACTGAGTGTAGAAAAAAGAAATAGGCTTGCTTTTTTTTTATTTACAACTGATCTAAATCTGATGCACAATCGAGCACAATGACTAATTCTAAGATTGTTTATTCACGAAAAGTGAGAGTCATCAAAACCTGTAATAACAATGACTCTGAGCGTGTAACGAAATATGACCTATTCTTCCGCTCTCTTTCAACCATAATTCATCTCTCTCTCATTGTGTGAGGTATTCATTCACTCTCTTTTTGTATGTGTTCAATGTCGCTTTCTGTAGTTAATATCAATATCGAACTTCAGACGTTTTGTACCATTGTTATAAGCATATACTGGTATTTATTGAAAGCACTTTTTTCCCTGCTTTTGTACCACGCAGAACTGGACAAGTCAGGATTTTTTCAAGTCTCAGTCAACGAAAAGATTCTTCAAGTCAGTCAAGTCTGACTTGACTAGAAATAGAGGCGTTTTTGTCTTAACTTACCCAGCTCTGCATGGAAAATGACTCTACTTAGATCTTTAATATCATTTCTCTGTATTAAAAGAATGCACTTTTAAAATGACTTAAGAGACAGACAAAATTAGTAGTCGGTCAGAAGATCGGTAAAACCTTTTCCCAAGTCAAGTCTGACTTGACTTGTCCAGCTCCGGTACCACGTTCATTGAAGCCTAAGAAAATACACGTATCAATTTCGCATAAATAACTCCAGTTAAATATTGAATTTTTCTGCATGAATTGTAGAGATTAAATGGAAAAATCTGTCTGTAATATACTTGCGGTTACTATCGATATACAGTCCGCAAAAGAGAGCTTTACAAAAGTACATAAAATTGGCTGGCTAAGAATCATAATTACAAAAGGTCTGATTGAGGAAATTGAGAGGTAGCCGAAATATGATCATCAAGTTTGTGCGAAACCTTTTTTGCTAGGGTTTAATACAAAACCTTTTTGTCAATAAAGAAATAGATTTCGTAGCTGAACGCCGGAACCTAGGATCGTACGAAACTTAAAAGGGTATAGAAATGGTTGCAATTCTCTATATCCTTTTTTAAGTTTCGTAATAAATCATTATTTTTTAGAGAGTATGGTCCCAGTAAAGTCTGCTTTTGTCGTCGAGAAACAAAATTTCAAAATCGACTATACACTTTTTTGCTTATCATCTAAAGAAAACCCGATAGAAAAAAAAATGTAAACGTGTCTGCATACAAGGTAACACAAGCAGATACTCAACTCTTGTTTAATGATACAGATCAAATGTTGAAAAGATGGATAAAAGTGAATAAAATGAGTCCCACTAGGTCCAATACTATTATTTCAAAACTTCCAGTAAGAGTTCGAACAGGCGAATATAACCGTCAAAGTGAACAACAAAAGCCTTCTTTTCGTCGAGAAAATTTAATATCTACTAAATACATGCTAGTCAGAAAAAAGATTTTTCTTATTTATCACAATATAGTACCGTCATTCTTGTTAGATTCTCTACGTTTCGCAATTGGTGGACCCATTCGAGCAGCCAGTTTTGCAAACAAAATACAGCTTTTACGACAGTAAAAAACCAGAATTTTGATATTTTTCTATAATGCGAAGTAGAGGGGGGATTGGCCCTCTCTTTCGATTCCCATTCTCCCTTCCTATTTTGCTGCTTTCCGTAAGCGGAGCTACTTCTTCGAATAACAGATCAGAAAATCTGTAGATTTTCATATATTAACCATTACGAGTTAGTCGAAACCTAACTTAAAAGCAATATTTTCTTCAATTTCATTTAGAGTCACCAAAAGAAATACTTGAAATACTACAGCAATTGTTACTAAACAAAACACCATCTCAACTCAGTTTATCGAAAAAACACTTAACCGCTGATGATATCCGAGTAATTAGTGAGGGACTCAAAGTCAATAACACTTTGAAAGAACTTAGTTTATCGAATAACCTAATTGGTGAGAATGGTGTTCGATCACTAAGTAATGCACTCAAAGTCAATCAAACTGTAACTAAACTTGATTTGTACAATAACCAAATTGGTGAGAATGGCGCTCTGTCATTAAGTGATGTGCTCAAAGTCAATCGAACTTTAAGTGAACTTGATTTGTACAATAACCAAATTGGTGATGCTGGCGCTCGATCATTAAGTGATGCACTCAGGGTCAATCGAACTTTAAAAGAACTTCGGTTACCTCGAAACCAAATTGGTGTAAATGGTGCTCGATCATTAAGTAATACACTCAACGTTAATCGAACTTTAAGTAAACTAGATTTGTGCAATAACCAAATTGGGGATGCTGGTGCACGATCAGTAAGTGATGCACTCAAAGTCAATCAAACTTTAAAAGAATTTAGTTTGACCAGTAACCAACTTACTGAGAATGGCGCTCAATCATTGAGTGATGCACTTAAAGTCAATCAAACTCTAACTAAACTTGATTTGTACGATAACCAGATTGGTGGTGCAGGTGCTCAATCATTAAGTGATGCACTCAAAGTCAATCGAACTTTGACTGAACTTTATTTGTCTTTGAACCAAATTGGTGAGAATGGTGCTCGATCAATAAGTGATGCGCTTAAAGTTAATCAAAGTTTAAAAGAACTTAGTTTGTCGAATAACCAAATTGGTGATGCTGGTGTTGGATCAATAAGTGATGCACTCAACCGTAATCAAAGTTTAACTAAACTTTATCTGTCTGAGAATCAAATTGGCGATGCTGGTGCTCGATCATTAAGTGATGCACTCAAAGTTAATCGAACTTTAACTAAACTAGATTTATACAATAACCAAATTGGTGATGCTGGCACTGGATCATTAAGTGATGCACTCAGAGTTTACCAGACGTTAACTAGACTTCACTTGGACACTAACGTAATTGGTGAGAAAGCAAAAGTGAATATACGAACATCGGCGCAGATAAAGAAAATTTGTGATGTTCTTTTATAAACCTTAGTAGTCTGTTTTAAACGAGGATTCATTTTAAATTCTGGGCATTTGTTATCAATTAGCGTTTTCACCTCTTTATTATCAGTTAATTTCAATCTGAACTGGTCTAATTTTAAATTAGCTTGATCTGACCTAAAGATCAGCATATACAGGCATTCGGCTCTAATCTGGTTTATAAACATATAATTGGGTTGAATTGGTATATAAATAGTTAAATCTGTCGACATAACCTTCGTGTACTCGGTATATCTTGCATCTGGTATTAATGTTTTGTCCGTGTCGCTGAACATTGTTGATCATTCAGAGCTCTCACAAAGGTCGGACCTCTCCATTTTTTGCTTATTTCAAAACTTATTAAAACCGTCACGTATTTGCAGTTCATCAACTATATACCAGAATCGATCATTTTGGAACTTTAAATTCTACTATAATCTCACATGGTTCTGGCACTTCGTTAGCCAATGAATAGCTAATACACCTGGAACACCTGATTCTTTAGCAGCATATAGATAGTCCGATCGGGTAAGGTGATAAAAAAAAATTTCTTTGCTTGATTAGCGTATAAAGCAAAAATAACGTATGTAGACACTTATTCCACGTGAGAGAACGGCAAAAATTGCATCAAAAAAGTTTTTCTTGGGTGATACGTTGCTTTTTTATACGAGCAGACGACGGATCCTTCTCGAGATCAGACCTTGTCCGAACGGACAAGCTGCCTGTTCAGACAATATTATCTGATCGGGCAAGTGACAACGGACTGACAGAGGTTATAGTATTAGTAAACAACAGATTCATGAAACGATTTTCGATCAGGAAGATGAAAAAAGACAAGCAATCAGTTGAAGATTATTATGTTGCTGAAGACGATTAGATTGTTACCAGAAATACTATCTCATAAACACACAAATTGTGCGCGTTTAATGTTGCTTTTCAAACTTCTATTCTTTTCTTTTTATTAATAGAATAACCTTTTATACTAAATATGGAAATTTCTGATGCATTCAAGAAGGAGACAAGCTATTAGTTCATAAGCCTCAGCCAAGTGTTTGAAACAAGTATGCATTTCAAACTCTGAGCGTTACACAAATTAACGGACTGGATGAATCATGCAATCTTCTTTTTCACTTCTCTTCTCTCTAACCTCACGGAACGCAAATTATTTGGAAAAAGCAGAAAGGATCCCGTAAAAATTGCAGAATGGATCCCGTATACTAAAATTTCAATAAAAGTAGCAAAAACGCTTCCGATTTTAGAAAAATAATATTGTATAACAGAACAGATCCCGGAATAAACTAACTGATTGCAGAATTAATCCCGGTTAACGTGTGGTGCGAGTGTAAAGAAGCCTGCATGGCGTTGAGATGTAAACAATAACAATGTGTAGTGCACAGTGGGCATTTTTCCATAGAGCAGGCGAACATCTCGTTTTTCTGAGTTAAAAAAGGATTATTTTCGTATAATATGATCCTATTATGCGTCAGATATCAATAAAAGTAAAAAAGCTCGAATTCAAAAATATTTGTTTTCAATAAAAAATTCCTTAGGAGTTGATTGAGCGTCCTTCTGTGGCAAACAGACGGTTTTCTCGTGCAGTTACTCTTAGGTGGACCCCTGTCCTGAATTTTTGTGAAAAAGTATTTTATTTGTAAAATTAACAAATTATACATTATACGATGCAATTTTTCATGCTGATTTCGAATATCATATTAATTTTTAATAGAGTTGTTTCTTAGCTGAGGAAAATGGAAAATATCAGGGTTTTTTAAGAAAACCCATAAATCCTCAAGGAATGAGTTGAGAGATTTTGAGAGATCACGATTGATTCAGCATGTGTCTTATCGCTTCTGTCTACGTGGGTGTACGTACACATAGTTGCTCTGCACTGTCGCTCGTTTCCCTTCTCTTTTGCCAGCCAGTTGTCTGTTCTTGATTGGTGAATAAACAAGCTACGTAGTCGGCACCCACGCTACTTAACAATATCCTTCGGGACGGATAGTGACCCTGGATGGCCTCTTTGCGCCTATGGGATAGAGGGTCTCGCATGATATCATCGTCTGTTGTCTTTGTCGTTCTCGTGATCATCGACCCAGATCACATGCAGACTCGCTTTAAACTCTACATTCTGTTAGTGAGCAGAGCGATCGGAGAATAAGAACTAACACTCACGCTCACCGTCAAGATTTGTTTCTTGTTTAGATATTTTCACGATGTCGGTCAGTGATTACGAACAATGCTTGAGAGCATGCATCAAGCAGAACCGACATGTCATTGAGACACTGAGTGAACTCATTACTGAAACGGAACATCACCATACCGTTTGTAATTCTGTGAAAACAGGAGGAACAGCCGCTGGTTTAGTTGGAACAGGATTGCTGGTTGGATCTCTAGTAGCCGCACCATTCACTGGCGGAGTATCTCTTCTACTAACCGCCAGCTCCGCTGTTTGCTCAATCGGTGGTGCTGCAACGAACATCATTACCAGTGCAGTTGATCGAAGTCAAACTAAGAAGATTATCGGTGAAATCCAATCATTGATCGATAGTCGTACGAAGATAACGGCGAAATTAAAAGAACAATCTGATCGTTTCAGCAGAGTGACTGAACATTTAGTTTTAAGTGATCTTAACGAACACGCTGCATTCTATACTACTTTTACTGGTATGAAACAATCTATAAGCAAATGAGATCTGATTATCATTCAGTTTTTGTCTTTAGCATTAGCAAATGGCCGTTTGAATCTGAACACAGGCACTGGGAACGTTTCTGATTATGAAAAATTCATCGTAATGGGTCGCCTTATTCAGACCGAATTCGAGCTTCTTAAAACGTTGGAATCAACTTCCAAAGCTGTTGCTATCGCTTCGGAAACACTTCCTGGATTAATCAGATGATATTGAAAAGTGCTCCCATGCTGGCAGAAGAGTAAGTTTCTGTGGAAGCATGATTAACGAGTCTTGCTTGATTGACCATTTGGTGCAATTTCTGACTACGAACGATAGCACCAGATCTTTTTCAACAAGTTAGAATGGATACCTAGTAAGAATGAAGATGAGGATGAGTAGAGTATTGAGAAGAATCAACTTAACATTAAATGAATCAATGAATGAGGAATCAGAATGATTTTCATTTTTACAGAGCGACAAGACTGGGTATCATTGGCGGTTCAACAATGACAGCTGGAGGTCAAGCAGCGAGCGGCCTGGTAAAAACGTTGGCCACCGCTGCGGTCGTTACATCTGTAGTTGTTAGTGTGATCGATGTCGGTTTTTTAATCCAAGATTGGGAATCTGATCATCCCACTATTCAAGTGATTAGCAACAACAACTGAGAGCTGAAACAAAGAGTTTTGAAGATTTATTATCGATGATTGATTCGTTTCGAGAACGTGTGTACCTTGCCAACATTGATAATAATCCGATCATGGGTTCGATCGACCGCGGAAATGATGAAGTGATAGCCTTACTAAATCAAAATATTTCAGAGTGTATCCAAATCTTCCAAGACATTGATATTGATTGGCCATTCGCTCACACAATGACTGTGAGTCAATTAGCCATGTTTCTTTTACAACATCAGGCTGCCTGTGGATTCGATCAACAGCAATTAGACACCATCAAGCTGTATTTATCAGGCCTATCATAATCCTTTTGACACGGAAATTAAAACCAACATTCAATCGGTCATGGTTGCTAGAATCTCGGATGACTCCTTATATTTTTTTCCTCTGCTGTACGGAATATTAATCTACGTTCTTCGTATGTCAGCTAGAGATCATATGAGCTTCTTTTACGATAATCAAGGTGCACGAGGTTCTCCTTCGACATCGAAGCTTCGCACGACTCGTTTTCTGATGAATCAAATGCAAATATACGTTGATCACTTTGCTTTACAGTATTGGTTAACACGCAATGGCGGTAGTTGGGTGACTTATGAAAAATCAAAGCTGGTGGTCTATCGAATGTTTTTGAATTTGGACGACCAAATTCGCATTTGGATGAGCGAATTGAAACGTTTTGGCTATTAGTCCTAGTGCATTGATAAAAACTCCTTCTTTCCTATCGCTTGTGTGAATGATTTTGACTAAAATAGCTGATTAAAATAATTTTTTTGTCTCATTTCTTAACTCGATCTAAGCAAATTAGTTGGAACCAACTTGGTGAACGTGTGAGTTTTGTCTTTTACTCAAATCGAGAGACAAAATTAGCTACTTGATTCTCAATGGATAATATATATTCCATTTTACTCAATTTACTCAAGAATCAGATGCGAAACTTGTAAGACGCATGGGAGAATCGTACAAGCATCTTAAAAGAATCTTACTCAAATCTTATATAAGATCTTCCACGAAAGTGGCAAGAATTCTGCTGAATCTTATGCGAATCTTACAAGAATTCATAAGAAATTGGTAAGAGTTGGCAAAACTCGTACGTTATTCTTATCAGATTCTTATGAGAATCTTATAAGATTCTTGCAAGACTCTTATGAAAAAGATGATCGACTCTCCTACAAAAAAATCCCAGTACAGTACTGAAAAAAGATCGGCACTACCGGTGTGCACTAGTTCCACATTTTACCAGCAGTGGCAGAGTTCCTACAATTCCAGAATTCTACTCCTATACAGCAGAATTGAACAATGATGTCTACGTGCTTCTAAACATTCAATTCTATTACGAGCTAAGTACAATTCTATTTCAATTCTGCTTAACTTGATTAGTCTACTTACTTTTCCAGTGTAGTAGTATTATGTAGTATTATCGAGACTCTGGGAAATCGTTCTTATGAGATATTATAGGTGATCAGCTGTGCAAGAGATTTCAAAATCTGTTCTCATTACTGGCTAAGGTATAATTCGTATATTACGAAGTTTTTTGTGTAGGAAGGACGAACTTTATATATGTTTTAAAATGTTGAACTGTTATGTGTTTTTCATGTTATAGAATATTTTCTTATTAATGTCAGACACAACTGAATAATAATGAGAGATCGTATGTATTAATTGTGTTTTCGAAAAGTGATTTTGTTAGATAAACTAGATTTAGTTTGATCAAAATGATATCATCGAATTACCACGATGCTGAACGTCGTGGCAATATTTGTTTTTCAAAAAATTTTCAAAAACCTAGTGAAAACCTATATAGGCGAAATAACCCATTTGTTGCCTATTCTTGAGTAAAATTAAAAAAATTTTATATAATAAAAAGATTCATAATCCAGTCAAGATCCATTCAAATTATGTCAGAATATCCAAATGTACTCTATTTTACCTGCTCAATACGACTTTTTACTTGATAACAGTAAAAAGCATTTTTACACTTCGGAAGATTTCTAGAAAACTTTTCAAGAACCAAAGCATTTTCTGTTGATTTTTAAAGCTTTTATTGAACTGCATATTGTTGAGCAGGTGAAATAGAGTACGTGTGGATATTCTAACATAATTTGGATCGATCTCGACTGAGTTACGAATTTTTTAATTTTACTCAAAAATAGGCAAAAATGGATTATTTCATCTTATATAGGTTTTCACTAGGTTTTATGAAAAAAAATATTGTCACGACGTTCAGCATGGTCGATTACCTATGTTTCCATTTATTTTCGGAATTACCACACCTAAAAAAATAGTGACCCTGGGACTCTCAGGAAATCCGATGCCATGCCTGAATCAGAAAAAACTAAGAGTTAGATTAGTTCCCATTCAAGAATGTTTGGTCGAAGAACCGCCCTTGGAATCGGTCTGAAATGACATCTAAAACAGAACGTTATTTTATTACAAGGAATTTTCCAGTACAAATGATCAATTCTGTTGACTGTGCGTGAATTATCATCCCGATTTGACATTAGCCTAGGCCAATATCACATTGGCCTGATTAATTCGGAATTGTACTTTAGACTAGTCCAATCTTAGATTCGTCTGGAGTTTCCTTACTTTTATATTACGTTTTACTGTGGATTAGTTCACGCTGAAATTTGACTTTAGCATTCAGCAACTCTAGGCGAAAGTGAAAATAGACTTTGGACTAGTTCAAAGTGGACTTTGACTTTGACTTTGGCTTAGGCCAATGTGACATTGGACTGAATTCCACTTTGGACGCTAACATATGCATTCTTGTGCTGTCCTCTGTCCTCCGTCAATGTATGCTAAGATGTAATGGGTTCGCCTCCTTCTAATCATAATTGTACTGATTTTTCTTGTTTCTCTTCACATCTTTATAACGTAAAACAACGTCAAAGAAAGAAAATCTATTTGATAGCGAGTAAGGAAACAAGAACTTTGACTACAAAAGCACATTGTACCTTTTTCTACACAACTTATAAATAAGAAACTATGCAGAAAATATTGCAAATATGCAATCTCAAAGTACCTCCAAGTCCAAATAAGTGTTTGAGAAGCAAAATAATCATATACTAACATTGATTAATTTTTCGTTTACTCCTTAATTTAATAGTCATAAGTAAACTTAAATGTCTAAACAGTTACACAGAGTTGTAAAGAAAAAGAAAATCGTTTTTGTGATCGAAAAACGCCTTTAAAGCCAACCTATGATAAACCAAAAGAAAGATGACACTCAGGAGCTCGGGAATATATCCTTTATTCAACTTACATGTATGGCAAACCTGTCACAATTAATTTGTTCGCCATACTGGCAATATTTCATCCATCGTCTCTTATTTTTAAGTTGTATAGAAAAGTGCACCATATGTTCTCTGTAGAGAATTGAGTGACACATCTTCTAAAAAAGAAATTAAAATTTTATCATATTTTTGCACTTAGATATGTGCAAAATGAAGAATGTTACAACATTTTTTCTTTTCTATCTGTTTGATGGATGTGATTTTATTTTTCTAAAAACTCACGCCCTCACCCTCAATGTAACTTATAATCGACTGACTGTGTGATTTTGAGCTTATGAAGACAATGATACGTTGTTAATGATTATTATAGATATTTGGGTACTGTTCTGAAGAAGTCAAGTAGCACATGGGAAGTGTGAAAATAAATATGTTTAATATAACTGAAAAACATTTTCGTAAAATCATTTTACATAAAACCGAGCTGTCGATACTTCAGTATCAGTAAAAATCTCTCTGCTAGAAAAAAAGAAATCTGTCTCTTTCTTTCTCTCGACAATCGACGTATATATAAAGCTGAAGCATGACTGTAGGAAAATATAAGACGAGGAACCTAAATACTCGATAGTGTTCATTGATGTTGATGATGATTGATCGTAATGTTCGATTTTCGGTTCCGACTTGTCTTTGTACCGTATGTCCTACGGAAAAAGAAAAGTACCGAATTAATTCAAGACCATAAAATACTAAAAATCATAAACTCAAACAAGAATATATGAGAAAAGCAAAAAAAGGGAATGCACAAAATCACACAAAATTTTATCCAGTTCGCGTGAGAACTAACATCTATCACTGAGACTCTCGATAAGTTGCCACCCGAAGCTTCTCACAGTGGAACATACCTTGCTAACTAAACACAGTAAGGAGGACAACAAGGACAACAAAGCTGATTATCCTTAGGATTACGATAGCCACACGGCATCCTACAACGACCATCAGCACCACATCCATAATAACAGCAATTAGGAGGACAAGGGTCATAACCATAAGAACAACCATTTTGTGCCATACAGCTTGTTGCCACCAAAACCAAGGCGACAACCAGAAAAACGTTTCCATTGAACTTCTCCATTGTCGTTTGTTGCTGTTCGACGCTTGACGAGAAAGTGGTAGACAAATATGAGCAAGTATGTAAATGGTATGCTTCTACAGTCGTGCTTCGACTTTATATATACGTCGACCTTCAAGAGAGAGAGACAAAATTATTTTTTTTGCTTGTAGAGGGAGAGAGAGACATATATATTTTTTCTCGCAAAGAGATTTT